GTTCGATCAATTGAGTTCGTTCAGGTTCGAGTCTTATGTGATGTGTTCATTAGGGTATTTTTATTTTTATAATTATTGTTAATAATATTCTTCGTCTCAGAGGAGTTTAGTTAACGATGGAAAAATATACTGAGAATGTGATAATTGTGATTTGAAAATTTATCGGATACGATCGAACACTTGTCTGGCGCGTCTGTCCATTACTCACTGTTTCTACTTGCACCGATGTCCAAGTCGAACTCTCGACCCTTCGTCCACGCATCAAACTTTGTTACAATAACCAAATACGATTTAAAAAATGTTAAAAATCACGAACATTTTTCTTCAGATAGGTTCGATAGAAGTAATTTTACTAATCATGGTAAACGTAATTTCTCTATTCTTGGGAAACAAAAATTAAATAGACAGTGTACAAACAATTAGAGATTTACGATAAAAGTAATACACTAATGAAGAAATTGTGAAGAAACATATTGGTCAGATCAAAATAATAATTGTGCACTCATTCGACAGTGATTGCCCAATGTACAATTTGAGAGATTAAAAAAGAAATAAATCCAGTAGAAAAAAGATAAGTATGTTTTATTATCCATGTGTACATTTGTATTTATTAGACGTACATAACAAATGCTATGAATATTATGAGAACATAGTTACGTACAAAATAATAATATACGTTTCCATTTTGTAACTTATAATTAGTTCATACTTACTATTTTAGGCATTAAAAAAGTATATAAAATTTGTTTTGTAACAATCTTTCGTTTTTAAAATACGACCAACAACTGTACCGTGTATACCCCCATAGAAAAAATGAATTTTCTACTAAAAATCGTGGTTGAAAATAATTAATCTTTCTTAATAGACTGCGGATCTTTATGTAAATTTATGTTTTTATTAATAGAACTAATGAAATAGGAGTTTCGTAGAAGGTTGTCTCAACATCCAAATATAATAATTTGTATCTTATATTTCTGTATATCAAGTTATTTTATTAATATTTTTATTAGTAAAATTAATGAAATAGGAGTTTTGGAGAAGGTTGTCTCAAAATCTAAATATAATAATTTTTAAATAAATTAAAATAAAATAATTTAAAAATAATATGTTATATTTTTGTATATCAATTGCCATCGAGTAGGTTTCCGAAAATTAAAATTAAAATTATTAAGAATCGAATTTAAAATTAGTGTTCCCGAACGTATAGGATCAGGGACGTTTCGACCATTCGATATATTTATACGTTCAAATTATTATTAAACGGTTTTACATTCGCGAAGAAATCGCTATACGTAATTTCTCGCGCGTGACGCGGGGCCAGTGGTCAGTCTCGAACTCAATCTGGTTCAAGGCGGTATCGAGCGTCGTTTGCATAGAAAAATACCGTGCTCCCGTCTGAATTTTTTCCAACCGCGGGAACGGATGCACAGGCACACGCAGGGATCGAAAACTGCCGGCAGAAGATAATTCCCCGAGCAGGCTTCCTCGACGAAACGTGTTTCCTCACGTGTTGGGCGTTATGCATCGCGTTTACAACACGTGATAGCGCGGCGTCATCGTCGAGCGACATCTCCCTCCTCGTTAAAGGAACGTAAGCGCCGCCAGTCGTGGATCGCAGTCTTGGCTGTGCCATATCGAAGCACGCACAGGATTACAGAGAGCCTCCTCGTCGCACGAATACGTATTGTTCCGGTCGTACGCGAACAGTATCGAACACTCGACCATACCTCGAACAGAAGTTACGCTCGTCTCGAAACCTCCGCCGTGTTCGTTCCGTTTATACCGATTCGAAGTCGTACGCGAAGAAAATATACCCCGTCCGTTTCGAAGTTTTAATTTGGGCCACGAGGGGGAAACTATCGAGCGCGACACTCTCAGAAAGAAGTGGAATTAACCAAGGCGAACTTGCCTTCCGATTTCACGCGCGTCTCGGTACAACGGAGCACGATGGTGACACATAGCATGGACAATATTTTGAATATGCAATATTATCCGACGAACAGTCACGTTGACGCGGCAGTGCACTCGCCGTCGATGAGGAAGAGGCGTTGTTTGAACAAAGAGGTGATACTTTCTTTCTACTTGAGCGCAACCACCGGCTTTTACCATTAATTTCGTGGGGAATGTATGGTGTTCTGTGTTACCGACGGAGAAATCGATTTCTTTCTAAAATCTCCCTTTTTTACCGCGCGCAAGGAACCCCGTCGGACAGTTTGCTTTACGATTCGGATAAATATTGACGATACTCCCGAAGGTAAAACGTGGTGCAAAACAGTGCGAACATGCAATATTTATTTCTTACGCAGAGACTGTCTATAGTGTCTATCTGTTTCCGACTACGAGAAATTTACATACGTAATTATTCGGCTGTGTTTGTTACGACGAGTCGTTGGTTACTGTGCTCCACGAACAGTGTATTAATAAGGCGCTGATTCGACGCTGTTAAGAGTATCGTTAAGTTTGGAGTGCTTAGAATATCTTTGGACAGTGATCGTGTGATCTAACCACCAGAGTGTGAACAGATGTAGTTGACTCGATTTTCGTAGACGAATCTACGCATCTGGACAGGTGGAGAATTGCTGGGGGAAAAGCTGCTTGGAATTTAGAGCCGGGCAAAATTTTTCTCTAGACAAAATTTTCAAATAATAATTTGAATTTAAATTTAAAATTATTGACTTTTTTTTCACGGTCTGGTATTCGAATAAAATTTTGTCCGTCTCTATTGGAAATGCAAGGTCAAGATTATTTTATTTTTATAAAACGTTGATCGATAAAACGTTTTTTTGAATTTTTTTCTTCGAAGAAAGCGTCGACTGTTTTGGTTCGTGTTGTGCTTGCATGGGGGCGTGTGCATACGTGTATCGACGTTATATAGTAACGGGAAGCAGAGTGGGGGAACGAATTTTCTATCGGAAGCAATTTCCCGCGATCTGATTTTCCAAATCTTTGATCATGTTTGCGAAAAAACGGTTCGTTTGCGACGCGTGCTTTCTTTTCAACTTTTTATCTCCTGGACGAGTAGAATACGTTGAAATATAAAGAAAAGTGTTACTTTGCGTTGCAAATAATTCACCTGCGAATCAGAGCGTACTAAAAGTAATAGAATTTGTCTCTTCAGAATATACAGGGTGTTCGGCCACCTCTAGCAAAAATTTTAATGAGCCATAGTAGAGGCCAAAATAAGACAAAAATCAAGAATACTAATTTGTTGGTGGAAGTTTCGTTAAAAAGTTATTAACGTTTAAAGTGCCGCTCTTACTGAATTTTTTTCTCGAAAATGCGCAAGATTTCGGGGGTATGTCTATTCACCAAAAATGACTGTAATTGAACCCTACAACCGAAAATAATTTTTCCACAACGATTTGCAATTTTTTAATTTTCTCGAATAATTTCACACCTTCTCTATTTTTTTTCTCGAAAGTGGGCAGGATTTCGTGCGTATGTCTAATGACAAAAACTGATTGTAATTGACCCCCGCAACCGAAAATAATTTTTCCACAACGATTTGCAATTTTTTTTCTCCGTTGAAAAATTTAGGCACCTAATTGGATTTTCAATAAGGAATTTTTTTCTCGAAAGTGCGTACGATTTCGGAGGTATGTGTAATGATAAAAAATGATTGTAATTGATCCCCGCAACCGAAAATAATTTTTTTAAAACGATTTGAAAAATTTTTTTTCGCCGAAAAATTTCAGCACCTACTCGATTTTTTTTCTCGAAAGTAGATAGGATTTCCGAGGTATGTGTACTCACCAAAAATGATTGTAGTTGACCCCCGCAACCGAAAATAATTTTTCCAGAACGATTTGAAATTTTTGAATTTAATTGTTAATAACTTTTTAACGAAGCTTCCATCAACAAATTAGTATTCTTGATTTTCGTCTTATTTTGGCCTCTACTATCGCTCATTAAAATTTTTGCTAGAGGTGGCCGAACACCCTGTATATCATTCTGTTTCAAGATCTCTGTTTTTAAAATACAGATAACCCCACTATAACACGGTAGATAGGTTCCTAGAAAATGCCGTGTTGTGTGAAACCGTATTATATGAGACTCAGAGCAGTATAAAAAGATTAGTTAAGTTCCGAGAACTTATTAAAAACAAATATTTTTTTTTAATTCTACATAAGCAACTTAATTTTTATGAAAAAAATAAATGTATATACAACACAAAACAAAAAATATTATTTTAATTTAATGCAACCTTAATTTAATAAATTAGAATTCGTTTATATTTTTTCATGTATAACCACTATAGTTTATTATTTCTTCGCGTCATTATTTTAAGGTAAAAATCATGTTATCTAGTGCTGTAGGAGTACAGTGTTCTACGAAGGTTCTCGAAATTTTCTTATCGTGTTAAAGTAAAACCGTGTTATAGGATGCCATGTTGTAGGAGGGTTACCTGTATTTAGAACGTTTGACAGGATGAAGTATATTAAGAACAATCGATAAATAATTCATAGTTTGTGATTTTTCAATATGTTAATGTCATATATGCTTTTCTTCTGCACGTTCGTTCAGTTCTAAGAACTTATGTGTTTTTAGTTTGCATCATTTCTTCCTTAATTTTTCATCAGTTTTATCATTCAGTTTCATTATGTCGGATAGTTAGGGTAACGTTGCTGTTTTCGCATAGTTTTCTTCTTTCGTCAACAGGCATGTTTGTGTTCAGTTGGAATGTTTATTGCTTCGATTTTTTGTATTAAAATGTGTTTTAGAAAGAAATTTCTTATTTCTCATCGAATAAAATTTACCAAATTTGAGTAGGTACTCCTCTATTAAACAAAGCGCCTATCAATGAAACCTAACATCGATTCGTCGATAATTAAATTTTGACGAAGCATCTTGAAACGAAAATTATTTTACTATTTAAATTGGTCGATGTTTGTGAGAATTATAAAATTTACGCGCTCCTATGCAATTACTTGGTAGGATTGATGTTTCCACTCGCTTCCAGGTAATCGTTGTTTAACACGTTGTTGTTTATTTTGTTGCAGCAAGATCCGATGTCTCATAGGATCATCGAGAAGCGAAGAAGAGATCGCATGAACAATTGTTTGGCGGATCTCAGTAGACTCATACCGGCCGAATACTTGAAGAAAGGCAGAGGCAGGGTTGAAAAGACGGAGATCATTGAAATGGCCATTCGTCACATGAAGCATCTTCAGGGTCTTCGACAAGGTATTATTCAAAACAAAGTAATTTAACAAATCAGCTTTCCTTATAATATATCCTTAATATTTCTTCGACCCTTCTGACTCGAAGCAATTATTAAATTTTTGTCGTTTCGTTCTTCAGAAACGAAGCACTCCGCGGTGTCGTCCGCGCACACACACCCCGAGGACAGCGTGGACAGCGTCTCGCACTCCACCGTGGCATCCACCGCTGCAGAACACTATAGGCTGGGTTTCCAGGAGTGCCTAAGCGAGACCATGCACTTCCTCGTCGAGGTGGAAGGTTACTTCGCCAGGGACTCTCTGTGCGTGCAGTTGATCAACCATCTGCAGCAGCACTGCGAGAAGATCTTGGCTACTAGTAAGTACTCGTTGTCTTTAAGAAATCAAGAAGAACCCAAATCTCTTATCCTTACACTTTGAAAACCTCCGGGCAATATTATTGGAATTCGGGAAACCCTGAGGATGTAGGATCCTCTCAGCTCTTAGAAACCATGCTTGCAAAGACAAATGAGTCGTCAACAGAGAATTACATTAAACTTAGAACACAAAGAAAAATTGTAATGTGAGATTCTAGAGGCCAAAATAAGACGAAAATCAAGAGTACCAATTTGTTGATCGAGGCTCCGTTAAGAAGTAATTAACGTTTGGAGTTGCGCCTGTAGAACGGCAATCTGCGTACAGCTGCGCGCGCGCGACAGTGGCTCTCACTCAGCGTGAGAAACTCTACTTTAATCGTTAATTTGCTTTGATTTGCCGTTTAAATGCCTTATTTTGGCCTCTAGAATCATCCATTAAAATTTTGTTCCTGTACTTACACAGTGCTCACGATAAAGCTTGCCTGAATCAAATAAAAATGTTACGAACATACCAAGGAGATAGAATTGCTCCCCTTCTAGTCACTGTTATGAACTTGCTGTGAGAGATTCGAAGAGTTTAGCTTCTTAGCCTTGAAGATCCAGAACGATGACGATTACGGGAATGTTTGTAATTTCCAGGTGACAGACTGGGCTTTCCCCATCCGGAGATGCCGACGTCGAACGGGACCGCGAACGGCAACGGTTACGCTCACACCAGCATTCCCACGATGTGTCAGCCCAACGGGCACTCTGACCACGGTTCCAGCTCGGGCGTGAGCTCGTTCGGGGACCCGGAGCGTCCCATGCGCTCCGCGATCATCCCGCCGCCTACGATCGTCAGCGACGACAGCAACCACAGCACCCATTCGCATAGCACGCCGCCCGCGACCAGCTGCAAGCCATCCAACTACAAGTTCAAGAGCTCGATCAAGCAAAGGTTCTCCGCGGAGAGGATAAAGTCCAGCCCGCCGCCAGCCACCGGCTCCGAGAAGCCATCCTCCTCCCACGGCGTGCCCATCTTTGCTCTTCACGACGGCGGCGCTTTCTACGTACCTCTGACTGTGGAGGCGTCCCTGCTCAGGCCTCATCTCAACTTCATCCCGGACACCGGGCCCGACACGGTCCTCCATCCCGTGACGATATCGGTGAACTTCAATCAGTCGACGCCGCCCGCGTGGTCGAACCATCACAGTCCCACGCATCAATAGCAGACCCAAGACGAGAACGCGTGAAGCATTCTTTGAACGTGGCTCGATGTCGAGGTAGGCTCCGTCCACGCGTGTGTTCCTAGACTCGGTGGACGACGGTGACTCGACGACCTATCTCGATCCACTCGGTGGAAACACAAGCGGGGAACGTGGTTCGACGTAATACGCAGTGGACAACTGAGGTGTTCTTCGAACAACAAGGTGTTCATGCCCCATCGCGCTAGAATCGTGTACAGCGATGATTCGCTAGTTGAACGCTTCCGTCTTGGAACCAGTGCAGCGGTGAAAGACGTTCGAGAGAGGATGACAGCGACGATTTGTGTATAAGACAATGCTGTCGTTTCGCCCCCGCTGTGCGAAAGATGAACGCGCGATGTTCATTTAAAGAATCATTACTGCACGGAGATGTGAAAGTTGCCTCTGAGCGATGATCAACCTACGTGTCCGTATTTTCGGTACACAAACTATGTTCAATCGTGTCGCGTTCCATCGCCCGATTCCTGGGAGTCTGAATCGTGTCCAGAGGCAGTCTCTCAGACGTCACGAGTACGCGTACGCTGATTCTGACCAAGTATTTCAGTCGGTTAGACCGCCTCTTCGACGGGGACCAGTCACGCTGTTCCCGCCCGCAAGGGGATAGTGATTTAATTTTCTTTCTGGTTCTTTAGTACGTAATATCCGAGAGACACTCCCGCCGTCTTAGTAGTTCCGTTATAAGGGAGATCGAGAGTCCTTCCGTCGAAGGGATCTATCGATGTTAAACGTCTGTATCGCGTCGATCGAGAATTTATGACAACGATCCTTACTGTTCCCTTGCGTTTCGACCGCTACGGTAGGCCCTCGTAAAGTGCATTCGTGGAGAAACGTTCGAGTAATAATATAAATGATCCTACCAAAATGGCGAGGGACGGTAGGGAGAAAGAAAGATCAGTTTTTTAAACGAAGAGGAGCAGTACTATTAAGTAGCGTGGGGTCCATCGCTTCCCGTACTCGCCGCCAGAGGGACCGTTCCTCTCGCAAGCACTCGACCGACCTTCCGTCTGTGTATATACGCTCCTCAACCGACTCCCAATATCCTAGAATGGGAGTTTCCCATTCTCCTTTCCTCACTATCTCATCGACAGGACTCCCACAGTAGAATCTGGACGATGTTAACAAATTTTTATATAGCCGTTAGCGTATGGACGAAGCTTTTTAGGGCTGATCTTCCTCTTTCCCTACCATTCTGATTCGACGAGAAGGGTTCGCCTGGCCAGGTCTTTCGTTCTCCCTATAATGCAAAGAACAACGGGGGGCGTCGAGGATGTTTTTGTATATTTACCGAGGCTGTGGGTTGTCTTAGCATTTACGAGGTTCGAGAGAAAGAGCGATAGAGGTCGTAGATAGAGTATTAGGGCGTTGGAGCCCCGGGTTGCTTTAGCTTCGGTGTGCCCTTCTTTTTCTTTCGTGGATATTATCGCAGTCGAGTCCCGTTCCTTCTGTTTCTTTCATTTTCTTTCTCGCCGCGAACGTTTTACCATCGTGTCGTTTCATCTTCCTCTATCCGTTCGGTCTGTCTCTCCGTGCTTCACCTTTTTATTCTTTCTTTTCTTTTTTTTTCGTCGATCGACGAAGCTGCAGGCATCCGAAAACTATAGTAGGTTCCGTCGTCAACGTTTGCCAATTAGTATTAAGGACGAGTTTTCTCAACCTTTCCGCCCTCACGAACGACCTTGACTTGGAGTTTCTCCAAATTCTATTTTTTTCTTTTTTTTTTCTTCTTCCTTCCCTTTCCTTTGTTCGAAGCGTAAGGTAGCCGACAAAAGTGCCTACACAGTTTCATTCACGAGGAAAGCGTTTAGTTTCTGCGAGTAATCGTCGCGTTCGATCGCGACGAGGATCGAGTCTGCACGAGACACCCCGGGTAAACGGGCCTCGGCAATTAACGACTGACCAAGACCTGCATTACACTAAATTCTTGTAAGATCGTTGCATTAAATATATATTTGTACATACCACGTCTAGTTGTAATGTTAACGAAGAATTTATACGGAATAAATTATATTTACCATAATTGTCTACCACGCGTCTCTGCACCCACAGTTTCCGTTGGATCGGTTAGTATAACAAATGAAATGTCACAAGCTTCGTCCCTTGTATCGTTGCAATTTTTATCTTTTAGGTTCTCGCAAGCTTTCCTGCTAGATTGTTATCAAGTTATTTCAGTCGCTTCGTGGAGATTTATCATCTCCGTTACACGCAATCGACGATGATTCAGGTTACTGTTACCACAGCAGGAAAGTATAATTTTTTCACTTTATTATCATAAGATACTTTTTACGAGCTAACTAATCATACTCCATTACTCGACACAGGTATTATATCTGTTATTTAACAAATCTGGAATACCGATTTCTCGAAACGAATATTTTCCAAGATGGCTGACATTTATGCTCAATTTTTGTAAACCCTATTATTCACAACAATTCGGTTCTAGGAATCGATCCTTTTAATTAGCGAAAAGATCAGTCGAACGTTGGTCTTTCTTCTCCAGGAATTCGAAGGACCAATCACACTCCATAAACCCCCAAACAATAGTACGGTCGTCGCGAAGAATTCGAAAGTCGAGCCGCCACAGTCGACCCACGATCGTGACGAGCAAAAGACGATATTCGCAGAACGAATCGTGACAAGTTTTACAATTCGTTCGTGACGGAGCGACTTCAATCGTACGTTTATTATTTTATCATCATTATAAACGATCACGCGTATCTGTCAACGCGAAAGTGAATGGATTGCGTGCACTTCCTAGTTTTCTTTCACTTATCTTAAAAGTGAACGTGCACCTTAATGCTTTTTGTTCATCTTCTCCGGCGAAAGTGTACTTTCTCTGTTCGTCGTTAGCGAATTATTATTTAGTCTGAATATTCATGGTATGATTTCATTTTCGTTACTCGCGCGAATTAAAACAGTTTTCCATATTGTTTTTCAAATTGTTTGTATTTTAACGATCGTTTTATCGCCAAGTAAGCAGAATTATCTAGATTGGTTCTGATTATTAAATGAATTATGATTGGTATATTTAAAAACGTATTATTTAAAGCATACTTTCGTTGCTTGTTGTTAATGATTATTTAAAAGTAGGTGGTTAAATAACTGTGCAGATAGGATACTTGGTTTCTAACAAAAAATTCCGAATTTATTTAAAATAAATACTCTTGTAAATCATATGCTTTCCACTGGCGAAAGATTGAGGCTTTTTTTTAATTTTGTTTAATTTCTAAACAAGATAACAAAATACGAAATAGATATAGGATTTTAGTCGTTGGATATTTTTGCGTCGATGAAAACTCGCACCTTACTTAGATTGTTGAGAACTTCTCAACAATTCAATCCCCATTCCTCGAGTGTAACTTTGCTAGAACCGTAATGGTACTGGGGTAAAGTAAACGCAACAAGGAGTGCAATTAAAATTTTTTTTTTATTACATCAACATAATACTGACTAAGGGTCAAAACAATCGTAGAACGCGTCTATTTGGGGGCAGTCGAGATTAACACAGGCGACTCGCGATCGAGAACATCGACGTTTTCGCGAGGAACGGGTTCACCGCGAGTCGCGAAACGGATGGGGGGACGGGACACGGTCTAATGTTCCCTAACTAGAGATAAATACTTTGTTTAAACGAGTAATAAAATTATACTGCTGGCGAGGCAACCAAAAAGTCTTGAACGAAATCAGCCATTAACGAATCGTTCGGAAATTAGTCTGATTAAAAATTGTCGGGGATGCGCGGCAGCGGCGAGAGTCGTCCATTTTCTTTTTCTCTTGTTTCCGGTTGGCTGGGTCGGTTGCTAATATATCGCGCGGGAAGGAGGAACGGGCGATCGTTTCCGGTGTTCACGCATCGAGGTGAGGGAATGTTTTGAACGCATCGAGCATAGTGTGTGTGTCATAGTGATCGCGTGTGGTCCTGGCCGCTGCCTAGTGTCTCGTATCGCGCGTGACAGATCGTCGTCACGACATCCCGTCTTGGTGTCGTTCGGTGTACATGTATATATTAATTGAAAAACCTAACTACACAGAGTCCAAGGGAACTGAGTATTACCTGTAATTGGACACATATTCGTCAATGTAAGAATGATTTGTAACAACGTAAGAATCCACCTAGCATATGTGGGGCGTGCGCGGGGCATGGGTGAACTGAATGTGCAGATTCGGATAGATGCGCGGATTCAATACTATCGGATAATGTAACGGGGGTAAGCACAACATCTTTTCACGTTTTGTATTAATAGTTGAGTATGAATTTAATGGAGCAGCCGCGGCGTACTGCATCCTGGATGAGGATCCCTTCGCGGATACGCTCGTCGGGCGCCAGCCAGCGGACTGCGAGCTTCCGAGAAAGCTTGATGGTTACTTTTTCTTCTGGGCTTTCTCCGCGGCCTTTGTGACTTTACCCTGGGTATCTTTGAAGGTCACGCTCTGCGAACAATTCGATTTTATTAAAATACGATGGGATCAACTTATTGGAATTTAGGAAAAGACATTTTGTTGTATGACAACGTTTGACTAATGAAAGTAATAAATTTTTTGGATCACACAGTGTAAATAGTACATTATGGTGTACCATTTGGTTTACACTGTGCAATCCAAATAGTTTACTCCCATACATGGAATAGTGTTGCAAAGATTGCACATAAAATTACTTTGGTTGAATTCTGTTTGTCCAAATGGTTAGTTGTAATTTGCAATTTGACATGTTACTTGTTCGTTAATATTAAAAAAGAAATCAAAACCGTTTTGCAAATTGGAGTAAAACAATATAAATGGTACGCTATTTGGTGCACTACCAAAATGGTACACCACTATGTTATTCCATTTGGCACATTACTTTTGCGTTAATATTAAAAAAGAAAATGAAACCGTTTTTTTTAATTGGAGTAACACAGTGTAAATGGTACTCTATTTGGTGCATCACCAAAATGGTACACCACGATATTACACCATGATGTACCATTTATATTTCGTTTGATGCACCACCAAAATGGTATATCGCAATATTACACCATGGTGTACCATTTATATTTTATTTCGTGCAGTACCAAAATGGTACACCACGATATTACACCATGGTGTACCATTTATATTCCATTTGGTACACCACAATATTAAACCATTTAGCATATTACTTGTTCGTTATTATTAAAACAGAAAGCAAAATCGTTTTGTAAATGGGAATAAAACAGTGTAAATAATACACTATTTGATACACCTCTAAAATGGTACACCACAATATTATACCACGGTATATCATTTACACTTCTATTTATAAAATGATTTTGCATTCTTTTTTATAATTAACGAACAAGTAATATGCCAAACTTCGAATCACAATTAACCTCTTTTGAACAAATAGAATTCCATTGAATTGTATGTGTAACCTTTGCAACACTATTCCATGTACATGAATAAACTATCTTCATATACTGTTCAAAATACCATATGATATTTAGCTATATTTGTTGGTATAAATTCGTGTAGGCAATTTATACCAATTAAAGTATAATTAAGATTACTGATAGCCTCCTGAGGAATTCAGCTTGTTATTCTCGCTAACAACAAAGGAATCAGAAAACGAAGACGAAGAGAGAAACACAAAACAACAAGAAAAATACAAGATTTAACTTTTGGAACATGCAAACCCCGAAAGTTTATATCCACAGAGGAGACTGGAACCGAATTCTGCTAGAATCTACATCTCTTGGTATAAATTTGTGTAGGCAATTCATATCAATTAAGATATAATTAAGATTGCTGATAGCCTCCTAAAGAATTCAGTTTGTTATTCTCTCCAACAACAAAGGAATCAGAAAACGGAAACGAAGAGGGAAATACAACACAACAAGAAAATTACAAGATTTAAATGTTGAAGCTTGCAAATCTCAAAAGTGTACATGCACAGAGGAGATTGGGACCGAATTCTGCTAGAATCTACATCTCTTGGTATAAATTTGTGTAGGCAATTCATATCAATTAAGATATAATTAAGATTGCTGATAGCCTCCTAAAGAATTCAGTTTGTTATTCTCTCCAACAACAAAAGAATCAGAAAACGGAAACGAAGAGGGAAATACAAAACAACAAGAAAATTACAAGATTTAACTGTTGAAGCTTGCAAATCTCGAAAGTGTACATGCACAGAGGAGATTGGGACCGAATTCTGCTACAATCTACATCTCTTGGTATAAATTTGTGTAGGCAATTCATATCAATTAAGATATAATTAAGATTGCTGATAGCCTCCTAAAGAATTCAGTTTGTTATTCTCTCCAACAACAAAGGAATCAGAAAGCGGCAACGAAGAGAGAAATACAAAACAACAAGAAAATTACAAGATTTAACTGTGGAAGCTTGGCAAATCTCAAAAGTGTACATGCACAGAGGAGATTGGGATCGAATTCTGCTAGAATCTACATCTCTTGGTATAAATTTGTGTAGGCAATTCATATCAATTAAGATATAATTAAGATTGCTGATAGCCTCCTAAAGAATTCAGTTTGTTATTCTCTCCAACAACAAAAGAATCAGAAAACGGAAACGAAGAGGGAAATACAAAACAACAAGAAAATTACAAGATTTAACTGTTGAAGCTTGCAAATCTCGAAAGTGTACATGCACAGAGGAGATTGGGACCGAATTCTGCTACAATCTACATCTCTTGGTATAAATTTGTGTAGGCAATTCATATCAATTAAGATATAATTAAGATTGCTGATAGCCTCCTAAAGAATTCAGTTTGTTATTCTCTCCAACAACAAAGGAATCAGAAAGCGGCAACGAAGAGAGAAATACAAAACAACAAGAAAATTACAAGATTTAAATGTTGAAGCTTGCAAATCTCAAAAGTGTACATGCACAGAGGAGATTGGGACCGAATTCTGCTACAATCTACATCTCTTGGTATAAATTTGTGTAGGCAATTCATATCAATTAAGATATAATTAAGATTGCTGATAGCCTCCTAAAGAATTCAGTTTGTTATTCTC